TTTCTTCGCATTCGATGATATCCACTACTGGGAGATGTGACAAAGTGATTTGTGAGCCAGGGCTTGCACAGAGACCGCAGGGAGGTGTGACTGTCAGGGCGCGATTTTGTTTATGGTGTTCTTGAGGGCTCTTGTTTCTTTTTTCCTTCATTGAGGAATTACTTATCAGCTACTGTTTCATAATTGATCAGCAATTATCCTTGACACTTTTATCGCGGGAGCTGTCTTTAACTTCGTTCCAAAATATTAACCTGTTTGCTCGGATCCATCAGTCTCAGCTGTTCCTCACTCAATGGAGTGGCATCCTTGGCTACTTCGCATCGGCCGTCTGGATGCACCTAAAACAAACACGAATTCAGAGACCGAAACCAGATCCCATCTATGTTTTCCCCTTTTAGCTATATTCTTCAGCATTAATGGTGGACACCTTGTTGTCCACTTAGGACCAGAGTCACCATTGACCATTTTTCCGGATGGACTACATGGTATTTAGTAATCACTCGACGAGTAAAGTCTAGTTCGCTGTGGACGAAAGGGCGTGTCAGATGGAATGAGTTTCGCGCGGTACCAAACCCGTCACAGGGGCAGGACAGCATCACAATGTTCGTATCATTCGTTTTCTACCAACTGTTGTCGCATACCCGCTTCAACAACTGGCAGTGAACGGGTTCGGCGCCGTGGCACACTCATACTGCTTGACACGCCCCTTGATTCGCAGCGAATTACAGTACAGAATTCCTTGCACAAGAATGCGCGGTCAGCAATCGCAGAGAAATTGTCGCTTTCGCAGATGGAGAAAGCTCATCAAGAACGCCAGAAGTTTGTCACGATCGCTGAACTCCGCCCGGATGATCTTCACCTTTTTCTGCAATCACTATATGTGGATGGCGTTGCTAGGTTTTGATGTTTTCGTTTAGTACAACATCGCACTTCGTTCTTGTGCAGTATGAAACCGTGTTCATGATTCGGTCCACGATTCGAACGATTCCCAAATCGCGCGACTGCAGCCAAAATGCGACCCATCTCGTATTAGTGGAGCGCAACTGCTAACTGAACCGCTTTCACCATTGCAGCGGTCCAACGACTAGCGGTGATGCGAGGTCGACAGCAGCCACGTTTCAAAATCGCTCCGGTAGCGAAATATGAGCGCGGCTTAAAAACACTTCCCGCGATCAAGTGGTCCGCGAAATGCCTCCGTGCATTTGGCATCGTTGTCCGCATTCGCAGAGAATATACCACTTTCGTCACTCGAAACGGCGAGATAAAGAAGCTAGAGACGCGTGATTATTGCAACCATTGCAACCACGATTACTTTCACTCTGCAAGACAACGGCTTACAAGCGGAATTGTGTGTACATAGCGTTGCCTGGAGCGTCGTAAGGTGATTTCCTGTGCTCTTGCCGGGAATGGTTGCACGTCGAAACATGCAGATTGAGCTTGCCGACGTCCGACAACTCGTCCAA